TTGTGTGTCAGCTGACTGGGCAGGTTTCCTGCGCTCTGATTGGCCGGCTGCAGGGCCACAGTGCGGTTTGAGCAGACTTTGCTCTCTGGTTGGCCGCCTCCTCTCTCCTCTCCTCTGATAGGTTAATGAGCAGCTTCCTGTCAGCTGCTCTCAGATCTGCTGACTGAGTGTGAGGACCTCTTATGGGCGTCCAGCTCGCTGCCTGACACCTATTTATAGATCCTCAGGCCCACACCTGCCCGTGTGTCCTCCTCTGAACACTCGTTACCTCACAGCACCTCCTCATCTCCTCCTGATGTCACCTCCTTTCCTTTCCTTCCTAAAGTTTTTTCTGCTTTATTTTCTTTTCCTTATTTCCTCTCATCTGTCCTTACTTCCTTCCCTGCCCACATTTCCTTTCCTCTCCTCCTTACCTCTTCACCGCTGTTGTGACCTTTACAAACGCACGCACACTTTCACGCACTGTCTCGCTGGCTGCTGTAGCTCCGCCCCCTCCTGTATCCATCCTGTGTCCCTACACACTCCCAGACCACTGACTGTATCAGTTCTCGTCAGGCCTTCCCAGAATTCCCGGCGTTCCTCGTTAAGTTAACGCTGACTCCGCAGGTTATTGGGGTTTCGATGACATGCAGGTAAACGCCGCCTACCTTCGTTTCTTGTTTCAGACACATGAAGATTCACGAGAAGGACCCGGCCAGCGGCCTGCTCCCCGTCAGCCCCCCCTCTCCCACCAAACGCCGCCGTCCGTCCGTGAAGAGGAGGCAGGGCCTCGAGGAGGAGAGCGGAGAGGAGCCGCCCAACAAGAAGGTAAAAACACCAACGGGAGCGTCGGCCGTCGGGAAGGGGCGGGGTTTGTTCGGTTAATATAACGAGTTGTTGTGTGTCGAGGTGGCGGAGGACGCGACGGCAGACGAGGCGGTGGCGGGCCGCGGCTCGGAGGAGGAGCTTCTGCCCTGTCCCATCTGCTTCAAAACCTGCAGCTCCAGACTGGATCTGGACGCGCACATGGACACCCACCCTGACACCGCCCTCAGGTACCGCCTTAACCCCTCCATCTTTCCTCTCCACCTTTCCTCTGCTCGTTTCCTCTCCTCCCCACTTCCTTTTCTTGTCTCCTCTTTCTGGCTTCTCTCCTTGATTCCTCCCCTTTTGTCCTGTCCTCATTTCCTTTCATTGAGTACATTTACTTAGTTACTTTTTAACTTTACTCTCAGACACTCTGTACTTATCCGACCTTTCAAATTAAGAGTTTACATTAAAAAGTGTGTTCATGAATCTGGACGATGGTCGGCTGGGAGAGGGGACGAGGGAGGCAGAGAAACACTGGGGAGAGAGAGAGAAGTGAAAAAGGAGGAA